ACCTTTTAATTAGCAGCCCAATATGTAAAGCATTAAGCACTACTCTACCAGTGTTTCATACTGATCCTCCTGGTCTGAACTGGTTATAGCAGTGGGAATGTTGTTATTGTTAGGGGCTGTCAAGTCGACTCGGACTCATATGACTTGATGAACAACAAATCGAAACTTTGTCCTGCACCTTGGAAGCAAAGATAATGACACTTTGCCTCACATACTTTGGACATGTAATTAGGAGGGGTGAGTCCTTGTAGAAGGACATCATGCTTGGAAAGGTGGGGGATTGGCATAAAAGAAGACCACTCTCAACAGGATTGACACGGTGACTGTAGCAGTGGGCTCAAGTGTATTGGAAATGGCACGGATGGCACAGGATAGGGCAGGTTTCAGATCCATTGTTCATAGTGTTGCTATGAGTTGTACTAGATTCAGCAGCACATAACCACTTGCCATCCTCACAATCTCTGTCCCGCCTAAGCCCATCCTTGCAGCCCATCATTGTCAATCCATGTCTTTGAAGGTCTTCCTCCCCTTTGTGGGCCCTTTGCTTTTCCAAGCATAGTACCTTTTCCCAAGGACTGGTACCTCCCAACAACATGCTCATCCTTGCCTCCAAGGAGCACCCTGCTTTCACCTCCTCAAAGGCAGATTTCTTTGTTTTTTGTAAATTCCATGGTCTGTCCAGTACTCTTTGCCAACTCTGCAAAAGCATCAGTCCTTCTTAGATTTTCCTTACTCATTGTCTAACTTTAACATGCATAAATAGCAGTTGAAAATACCATGGCTTGGGGTCAGCCATGCTTTAGTCTTTAAATGAACATCTTTGCTCTTTAGCTCTTTGGAGAGGTCCTCGACGGCAGATTTGCCCAGTGCAACATCTCTTGATTTCTTAGCTCTTGTTGCCATGGGTAGGTGTTGATTGTGGATCCAAGTAAAATGAAGTTGTTGACAAACCTCAGTCTTTCCTCCACCCAACATGTTAGCCATTTGTGAGGATTTTTGTTTTCTTAATATTGAGGGGATATGACACACCCCCCCCAAAGAATTATAAGAACATGTAGTACTTTGATTCTTCAATCTCAAATTAGTGGACACCTTTTCCCACCAAACCATTCATTCCCATTTCCTTTAGTGACTACTATTTTTGATGACAACCTGTCAGAAGAGGACTTGATCTAAAAGCATGGGTAGTTTTGAGGCTCTTGATACTTGTTGTCAGATCATCCTCAGAAACGCTTTGTCGGTTTACGTTCACATAAATAGTGTCTAAGAGATTCCATTTACCACACTCTCACCAAAAGGTCTTTTTTAAAAAAAAAAAAAGTTTGACAAAGTGTATATATATATTTTTTTAATTTGCAGTTCTCTTAGTAATATAGGCATCATTTGCTTGGTTTTTTTTTTAATTTCTTTTTTTATTCATATATCCTCTGTCTTTAAATTGAAAATCAGATCTACTCAGGGAGAAAAATCAATATTTCTTAGACCACTATAAATAAATTCACTGTGACTACTAACTTATACAATTACTAATCGTGAATAACAGTAAAATTTCTAACTAAGGGGATGCAGTGAATTTTTTGGACTTGTGCATTAGGATATCTAGCTCCTTGGAGTATTAGAGGTATCATTATTTGCCATTTTCTGCCAGGGATCTCATGAGCTCCAGTCCCCAGCCTGACCATCTCCCTGGCTACACCATGGCATGGCATATCCTTGGGGATGGGAATCACAATGAAGGACAGGGAAGAAGAATTATTCCAAGACGTTTTCTCAGGGTCTTAACTCAGATGTTCCATAAAAGGCTCCACTGTTTTCCAGAGCTAAAAGATACCACAATGATGGTGCAGTGATTCATTTTCTAAAGGAAAATGTCAAAGAAGTTAGGTGACTTGTTCAGTCATTCTGCTTTGCTTTATCATAGGGTGGGGGGTGAAGGAAGATATGTGTTATTCTATGCATTTTAATTCACGTCTAGATTCATGAGACCACTTCCATCAGGATACAGAGCTATTTCATTAGTCCCTAAAATTCCCTTGATCTTTCTGTTATAGTAACCCTATCTCCTTACCCCTAAACCTTCACATTCACTGTCTTAAGGTCACAATCCTCGTTCAGCTCTACTTTTGTCTTCTAATATGTCCAAGTGGGGATTCTTGTTTCTCCTGCTAGCTAACCTAGCCCCTGCAGTGGGGAGGTGTTTCTTCTTAATCCTGCCTTCAGTAGTCCCAGAATTTTCTCATCGGCCCACATTGGGTCCTGAGCCTGCCCGTGAGCCAGTCATTGTGACCAGGACCTGGGACATGCATGTCTGCCTCCACTCCTTATCACAAAGACGAAGGATGGGTAAAGGATAGGTGATTCTCTAAGGAAAATCCGAGTGTGATTACCAAGAAAAAAGAACCCTGCTAGTAAAATGGGTGTTGGGGGTGGTGGTGGGGTTTTTCATTACAATTTTTATTGTGATTTTAACGGAAGTTTACAAAAACCTTGGATTTCCACTCATTTATTGTTGCACATTTTCCTGCCCCCCCATTCCACTTTGCTAGTCACCGCTTACTCTGGACTGTTGCCATGCAAATGATGCCTAATCATATATATTAATCAGTTTTAAGCACCTTACTGCTGACCCAAAAGTGAGAGGTTCAAACGCACTAGTCATGGGAGAAAAAGACTAGCAGTCTACTACCATAAAGAGACAGCCTCAAACCCCTGTGCGAGAGTTCTGGGTTGCCCTATAGGTGGAATGGTAGAGGACACACAGAACATTATGTAAAGAAGAGGAAAGGCAGTGGTGTCTGATGACAGACATTGAGCAAGGCCCCTCAGATTTGTTGGTTCTTGTGGTTAAACTCAAGGGGGATTATTGTCTGTGTTTACAGAGAAGGACACTTTGGTCAGAGAGGTTCATAACTCAATGAGTCACTAGCACAAAGCTGACGTTAGAACCCAGCCCCCAGTCCTGGCTGAGCCCAAAGGCCCGCACCAACCCAGTTCTCTCTCATTTGAAAGGTTAATAAATCTCTCCCTCAAAATGCAGACATCAGAATATCATTCAGTCATTGAATCCAAAAAACCAATTTAGGCTTTCTGCAGAACCCTTGTACTGGACATACAGAACCTTAAGAATTGTAAACAAGAGAGGAAGAATGAATTGTGTAAGCAGAATATTGTTTTTCCATTTATGGGAGTATGCTTTTTGTTGGTTTCAAAAAAAAAAAAGAAAAGAAAAATCTCTGATGAGCTTTCATTTTTAGTTTCTTGCTTTTTAATCTCTGGCAGTGTTCTGGGATTAGTCATCCACACTTTACTTCAACATCCCCGGAGACCTTAAGTAAGGTATTAACCCTTTCTAGGCCTCAGTGTACCCGTCATGTAAGGCAAGGCCCTTGAACTAGCTGAGCTCTGTGATCCCTTTGGAACCCCTGGCTGTTGCAAAACCTTAAACCATTCAGCTGCTAATTGTAAGGTTGTAGGTTTGAGTCTCCCCAGCTACTGAAAAACCCCCGTGAAGCTCAGCTCTGTTCTTATATGTCCTGCTCTTACACAGGGCCAGAGTCAAATTCAGCTTGGCTGCATCTGGTTACTAATAATCCCTTTCACCTCTAACCTCTGTACTTCAGTGGTACAAAAGCTTGCTTGCCAGTATCCCTGGCTCTCTAAACCATATTCACTGTAGCAGCCAGAGGGATGGAGAAAAATATAGAGATATGAATATTTCTTTTAAAAGACATTAGATCCTGTCCCATACCTCTCCTTACCCCTTAAAACTCTTTAATAGATTTAACATCCAAACTCTTGAAGCTTCAAGCCCTCATCCCCCTCCACTGAGCTCGGTCCTGTCTCAGTGGACTTCCTGTTCCTCAGTTCCACATCTTTGCTCATAGTTTCCTTTCTGCCTAGAACACCTTTCCCTGCTGACACACATACCCCACCCCACCCCCAACTCTACCAGCAGGCTCAGGCATTCTCCTTAGCACTTAATTAGAATTGATCATTTGGTGCTTACTTGCTTGTTTTCTGGTTCATTGCCCACCTTGAGGGCAGGCTCTGGGTCTGTCTTGCTCCGCATGGCAAGATGGCCTGGCACACAATAGGTGCTTAATAAATAATGAATAGTAACCATTCACAGTCTCAGTGCCAGAGGGTGAAGGCTACAGAAGCAAGATTGAAGACTTATTTTTAATAAAATGAATGGCTTTGGAGACAGAGCTTCCGTTCTGTGGAGCTGTCACTCTTCTCAGATGAAGGCTGACTCACCCCTCCTGAGAGCTGCCTCTGCCTCCTCTCTGACTTCATGAAGTAGCATGGCATTGAGCACAAGCAGGCAGAGATGCCCAGATCCTCGTGTTGAAATCACTATTTTATACGACCAGGGAGATGGGGGTCCAGGTGGTCAGAGGGAGCCTGTGTGAGTCTGAGTCTAAAGCATCTTGCCTCTAAGACCCAAGCTCCTCTTTGCCTGCTTGTTTGAGATAAAATCCAGGTTAGATTTGCAGAGATCCTTCCTGATGCATTCCTTAGGTGGGCATCTTGTCCTGATTTGTGTTTATCATTTTTATCTCTTTTCACCTATAGGATAATTATCTTTTTAAGTCCACAGTGTTGGCCCCTCCAGAGCCACGGCTCGCCTCTTCTCAGTTTAGAATGTGGCTGTTGCAGTGAAAACTCATTTGAAAAAAGATAGTGGCTAGAACCATTTTGGTGACCACTGCCAGCTAGTCTTATCACCCTCCTTCCTGTACTGCTCTCCAAATCCTAGATATCCTTTAAGATGCACCTGAGAATTCCATGCTCATAGCGCTCTCCTGCCTCATTTCACATCCAGTATACCCATTGTGTAGAGGGGGAAGCTGAGGTTCAGAGAGAGCAAGTACCTTGTCCACAGTCATGTGGAAGAGCCAAGAATCACACCCAGGTCCTTGTGTTGTTTTGTCCGTGCACCCCCCCCCCCAGCAGAAAGACCCTTTGTGATAATGGACATCTCTGTCCCTCCTCACCAGGTCTACATCATCCGAGTCACATGGTCCAGCGGCTCCACTGAGGCCATTTACCGGCGCTACAGCAAGTTCTTTGACCTCCAGGTGAGAATTCAGGGCTCTGGAGCTGTGGGTGGGAAGTAGTCCTGCTGTCTTTGTCTTACTCCAAGAACTTCAGAGCCCAGATCTTCACCCCAGTAGACACACCATGTTCCTCTTATCTTCCTGAACTTCAAAATGACATCTGTTACTTTTGGGGCTTTCTTTTTCATTGCCTTATGCTTTGATATTTAATATCTTCCACATAAGAGGAAATGTGTTTGTTGGCTGCTTCAGAATGGAAGGTGATCTGGAAATCATTCCATGTGGGTTTGGAATACGGATCTCAATTTTGGGGTTTGGACAATCATCAGGTTTGCTGGGGAGTTAGTTTGTAGAGTATGTTCAGACACACACCTTCAAGGTAGCTGCAACTATGATCACCATCCTAGGAGTTATTTACATCTGAAGAACAAATGTCCACTCAGCGTGGACTTCACGAGAAATGTAGGGGCAGATTCAGGGGAAGAGGCAGAAAACGCTAATTGCCCAGAACTGGCAACCGAATGACCCTGTGGGACCTAGCAGGTACTCAGTATCTCTCTTTGTGATCACAGGACCCTGCTTTGCTTTCCCACTAGCCTCTGTGGACTAGCTTCTTACACGTGCCCATCAACCGGCAATCCTCAAGGGCCCTGAAAACACCTCAGTCCCCAAGTGGCTGTGTCCTTTCCTGATGTCAAATCCAATTGCACCTCAGAAACACCCTCCCCGTCCCCTGCCTCAAACACACACACACACTACCTACCACACACTACAAACATTCTACCCCCAGCTGTGCGGGCAGGAAATGGACAATCACTGGTACACACAAACATAACACACACATACTCTCTCTCTCTCTCTCTCTCTCTCTCTCTCTCTCTCTCTCTCTCGCCAGGAAATGGAAGCTCACTGGTACAGCAACCCCTGGAGGGGAACGTAGACTGACGGGGTGGCGGAGGGAAAGAGGAGGTTGTGGACGCACTTAGATGAATGTCATTTCTTGCTTTCACACATGCATATTCCCCACGATCCCTGTTCCAGCTGATCCTGAGGCTCAAGACTGTGGTTTGATCCAGTCAGTGATCGAACCCTGGCTCCAACATTCCCAAGTAATGCCCCCCCACAGGTAAGCTACCTCTGTGCAAAGGGACAGCCTAGGATCATCTTAGCTTTATATTTTCAAACTGGTGTCACTTTTGGCAGAGTTACTTAATGTTTCTAAATCCCAGTTTCCTCATCTACACAAGACAAATACAAGCATTCTTGTCATGTTCATAGTGACCGTTAGGCGAGGTCTGCCTCTGACACCCGTGCATTCACTAAGCATTGGCTCGAATCTCTGCTCCCTTTACACCGAGGTGGCGTATCCAGGGTGACATCATTTGGCAGTGCTAGAGCCAGCATTTGATCACTGAGCCTCTGACCCAAAGCCTGTTGTGACTCCCTCCACTTTCCTGTTCTCACTCAACTTTTTTATTTCAACCACAACTTAAGGGTCAGACTTTCTTGCTCACTCAGCATACTCGGTAATGATTGGGGTGAGCTATCACATAAATAACCACCTCAGACTGCCCTCCCTCAGCAAAGCTATTTAAAGGCGGGCCTTCATCTGCCTTAAGTCAGATCCAGATGCAGCCAGAGTGGGAAGGTCATAGCATTCCAGAGGTCCAGCTCGTCCTGGACCCTGCCTTCCTCCACACCCCAGAGTGGAGAGCTGGAAAAGGGTTGGGCAAGACCACGCCAGCTGAAGTCAGCTGTTCCTCAGGCTGAGGCAGGAGACCATCCAAGTGGGGTGTAGTGCCCCAGAGTGAGATGATTTCATGTTCCCAGCCTCCCTCCCTCCTGCCGGCTTGTATCCTCAGTTGTTCAGAATTAATTTGACTCTATTGTACTAGGAGTATGGATGGAACCTTCAGGGAGGAGCAGCGAAGCCAGTGAAAGGAAAGAACAAGGGAGTGGGTCACAGACCTGGGGCTGAGTCACCGCCAGCTGCATGTACAGACGACCCCTCGGCACCTGAGAGTGCACATTGGTGACGTGGGGTGACAATGTTGACCTAGCCAGCTGGCTGTTAGAATGTTGGTTCTGGACTTGCTCCATATTGTGCTTCAGCTTCATGAAGTCATTCATTTAATCCTCCCGAGAAGCTTATCACGTAATATGAGTGAAGGAACATGGGCTCAGAGAGGTGAAGTATTTGTCCATGTGCTGGTCAGTGTGAGGACTCGGGTTTGCATGTGGTCGGGTGGACAGCTGAGTACAGCTCCTGACCACTGTGCAGTCTGGTACCCTTCACTCCAGTAGCTACTTCATAAGGTGCCGTGGGAGTTAAAAGTGGTGATGTGTGTCCAAGAGAGGTACACCCACAAAGACAACAAGCAGGTGGAGGTTGCTAGGGGCTGGGGGAGGAGGGATTTGGGGAATGAATGCTTCGTGCGTAGAGTTTCTTTGTTGGAGTGATGAAATATTCTAAATGTAATCTGTGGTAATAGTTGTGCCCAAACCAATCTCTTGGTTATCAAGTCAATTCCAGCTCACAGTGACCCTAACGATCAAAATGGACCTGCCCCTTGGGATTTCCAAGGCTGTATCTTGACAGATTAGTGAACTCTGGTATCTAGTGGTAAGAAACTGCGCTGCAGTCCCAAAGCCATGCAGTTTGAATCCATCTGCTCCGCCGGAGAAGGATGGGCAACCTCCCATGCAATTAACTGCCTCTGAAAACCCGCTAGAGGGTCAGCTGCGGGTCGGTCACAACTCAGCAGTACACAACAACAACAATAGTCTTTACGGAAGCAGATCACCACATTTCTCTAAATACACTATAAAATATTGAATTGTACACTTCTAAATAGCTGGGCTTTGTAGTATGTAAATCACATCTCAGTAAGGGCTAATAAATAAATTGTGGGACGAAACCTAGGAATTTAACCACCTAAATGCATAAGATCTGTATAAAGGAAAACCACAGGATAATCCTGAGGAGACTGGGCAGTGTAATGAGCACATGTGTCTTTTGGGGTATTGAAAATGTTCTGCAATTAAGTGGTGATTGTTGTTTAACCCCATGAATGTATTAAAAATTACTGACTTATTCCCTTTAAACTATTTGGATTTGGAAGATTTGATATGTGAATCATAACTACAAAAAAAAAAAGATGATGCTGTGTGTGAGTAATTTCTGGCTTGTCGAGCACTGAGCAAACATCAGCTGGTGGGATTACTGGTGGCTGCTAAGGAATTGGCATAAGGGTGAGAGGATGAGATTATGCCAGTTTAATATAGTGGTTAAGATCCTGAGCTTTAGAGTCAGACAGAGCTGGGCTTTGCTCCAAATCCCACCACTTACTGTCTGTGAGATCTTGTTTTAGTCCGAGCAGCTTTAGTTGCAGATGATGGAAACCCGAGTCTTGGAAAAGAAGGTTGATTAGCTAAACAGCTGATGTGTCTAATGTATTGGGCTTCAGGTCTGGTTGGATCGAGGGGCCAGAATATCAACAGGAACCTGTCTGTCTTCATCTCTCGGCAGGATGTCCTGCTGTGATGGTGGCTGGAGTTCAAGCTTTACCTAACAGATCAATGAACTCAGGGAATGAGAGCACCCAACAGTTTAGGCAAACATATCCCCAGCCCATCTTGAGTCACGTGACCTGGCCACTCCATGCCAGCCCAGCAACTAAAAGTCAAATCACTTTGATGTATGTAGACTAATAGAGGGGTGGGGGTACCCCAGAGGAAGACAGGGAACTGCTACCCAGCAAGGGGAAATGGCCTCCGCCTGACAGAACAATAAATGTCCCTTCATGGGCCGGAACATTCAGGCAAAGGAAACTGCAGAGTCTGTTGAGGTAGGGAAAATATTACCCAGGTTCATTTGTAGGGATCAGCAAAGAAGAGAGTTGGGCATCAGTAAAAGGTCTCCTATGACAACAATTCACCTTCCAACAGTGTCCTGGCTTTGTTTGTCTTTGAAAAGCTCACTGCTTCTAGTTGACATTTGGCCACATATTCCCACGTGCATGCAGGGCTTAGAGCGCAGAACTTGGAATGGGGAAGATGACTGGTGTCAAGTCCCATCCTCCCTGAGCCTCGCAGACCTGGTGTTCACACTGGAGAGCCCGTCAGAGTGCGGCAGAAGGAGCAAAACACTGAGGATGGCCAGACACTCTAGAGCCGAGGCCACTGAGGGCAGAGTACGGAAGATGTGATTCAGTTGAGCCTTGTAGGAATGATGTTCATCTACTGAACTGTACCAGGCACTCATCTTGTTTACTTTCTCTTTTAACCCTCATAGGCATGAGGTCAGTACTGTATCCATTTCACAGATAGGGAAACTGAGGCTCAGAGAGACGAAGTTGCATTCCCAGAAATACCATGCCTGCATGTATCTAAGTCTGAAACCCACGCTCCAAACTCTTCCACTGGCAACTGCCCGTGTTTAAGATCAATTTGGCCCATCTCTTAAAATACTGGCAGACTATGACATATTTCAGCTAACAGATGCTGCCGTGGATGTGCTCACCAAGTTGTGTCAAGAAATCTGGAGAACATCCACTTGGCCAACTGACTGGAAGAGGTCTATATTTGTTCCCATCCCAAAGAAGGGCGACCCAACTGAGTGTGGAAACTACAGAACAATATCATTGATTTCACATGCAAGCAAGATTCTACTGAAGATTATCCAAAAACAACTGAAACAG